TTATATACATATACAGTGGTACCCAGCCTTACAAGCGACTCGTCATACTCACTCTTGCAACACTATAATGAGTTGAAGAAAAAAAAATCTCATTGGATAGTGATAAACTCAAAAACTAGTATGATGATAAATTTGTCATTATTCATTTAGAAATTTGCTATGATTTTGCAGAATATATATTTGATCTTAGCAATAATTGTTTCATTTATTTTTATTATTATTAAAACACTGTGCTAGAACAAATTAATAGCATTTCAATGTATTTATATGAAAAAAAAAAAAGATTTGAGATACGAACAATTCGACATGCGAGGTTGCTGATACCACTGTATATATATTTAATATTATTTTTATCATAAGTGGGAGTAAGTGGTATGATAAATTTATTGTTAAGATTTATTCACAAAACCTTTTTCTTATTTGATCAATTATTTTATTTTTGGTTTATAAAATTCGGAATTTAAAACAACACACATTTAAATTTCAGAAGAGGGATCAAAGCCAGTCTCCTGTTTCTCACATAGAATGAGTCTTCTCTCTCGCTATTCAGTTTTTGGCTGTTATTATTGATAAGAAATCCATAATCCATCTAATAACGAGTCTCTGATGTCTTTATAGCAAACATAATTTATTGCTCATGTGGTACTCTCAGCCATTTAGTGCCTTACATGCCTAATGAGAAATGCTCCATAAATTTCTGTCAAAATTTTATTAATGATAATTCCAAAAATTGCAATGAATAACCAATATTCAGATTAGGGCGTACTATTATTTATTAAATTTATCAACAATGAAGACATCGCATTTGATATTAGCTGAGTGGTCCCATACTGGCCTCTTCACAATAAGACTAATGTTCATATTAATTTCGATTTTCCCAGTTTTGTAAAGAGCCTAAAATACATTTGCAAGCAAGCTCATAAAGTTATATGAGGCCCTTGTAATAGCTGATCCTCAATATTCTAAAATCGGATTTTTTTTTGCGAAAACAAACTTCTCCTTTGGGAAGTTAAAAAAACAATCTAAACTAATTTTCAACTTTTTACCTTATCATTTACCCAAGATGCCATTCAAAGTATGCCACATACACAAAAATATAATTAGATTTTCACACAAATGTCCATGCTGAACAACACAAACTTTTAGGTTAATTTAGTATGTCCTTATTCATTCAGTAATAAGCACCATGAATCCTTAATCTATGCTTAACTGTGAAATTTAGAGATTTCATATCAAAATGCCCATTAAAAGACATTAAATACAGTACCTGCCAAGAGTGTGACCCTTTCCCGAAAACGCGGCAACTTTGGTTTTGGGTGGAATATATTGTTCATGTCGATGATCTTCTAAGTCTAAATGTACCTCCGCACCATGTGCCTCTTGAATCAGTTCAGGAGGAATCTCTCTTTAAAGTGAAAATAAAAGAGCTATATAAATAACTATCTATGGACATAATTAGCTTCTCATGAGAAGGTATGGTATAAAATTTCATTCATGTCATGGTGCATTAGATCTTGAAAAATAAGTTAGTAAGTCTTAATAAACATTAATATTCAAATTTTTTAGACCCAACTGTCCTAATTATTACCTTGATTTATTATATCATAAAATTTCACACACAACTTTCTTATTGCAATCAAAATTCTAATATATTTACATTGTGATACTACCTCAACACATCAACAACCTTGAAACAATTGAGTAACTTCGAATGTAGTCATTTTTAAAAATAAAACTATTTTCTTCAATCTAGATCTATTTGCACATGTATCACCAATTTTGAAATGCACATATTATAATTTAAATGCTTTTTCGAAAAGACAAAAGAAAGTATAAACTAGTGATTGCAAATTAAAAAAAAAATTTTTTTTTCAATTCCCCAAAAGCTAATCATATCTTCACATTGTCAACACAAACAAAATGTTTTTTGAATTAGATTATCCGTTCTCTTGATAACTGCTATTTTTTACACTTTTTGCTCCGTATCTCCAAAACAGTGGGAACTGCCTTAGCAAAAAACAAATTAGCACATCTTCCCATCAATAAAAGCCATTCAATTTTTTTTAATCATTCTAATCGGATGCCCGATTTTCGCAAAGACCGAGTTTCTTTTTCCTCTACTTTTTGCTCTGTATTTCCAAAACGGCTAAAACTGCCATTGCCAAAAACTAATCAACACGTCTCCCTATCAATCAAAATCAAATGTTTTTTTAATAATACAAATCGGCTGATGTGTGCTCCTGAAAACAGGGCCGAAAAATTGTATTCACACACACACAAACACATAAACACGCACCACGCATCAATTTCGGTTTTTTGATTATTACAATAACTTACCCCACAAAAAGTTGATGAAGTTTTCAAATAATTTAAGTAAACATCAGTAAATATTTATTGATTAATGGAAGACCTAACAAATCAATCTATACATTTAGAAACATTTTTCGAACAGTTTGCGAATTTTCGAAATCAGATTAGAATTTCATGAGTAAATTAGAAGAAATAAAAAATGTAGATAGAATAATAACTGCTTGCAAACATATTTCAATATAATTGAAAATTCTAAAAATTAAAAATATTTAAATTTATGGTACTGAAAATTTTGGTCAAGCCTGGAGTTCTCAAAAATACTTGATACTTTCTGATCTAATAGTAGATATGATAAAATCAACTTTAACAAACTTTGGTTAAAAGATATTTACCCCTTTTGATATGATCTAAAAATTCGCCGTTTTCAGGATCACTGTACATGCGCATAGGACCATCGCCAAGTGTGAAACCATCTCTCCATAATTTCAGAACTACAGTTGTAGGTTCATTGTTTTCTGTTTTTGGAGTTGATACAGCAGTACTATCTTCGGGAGTTTGACCTAATCTATAACCCACTCCTTGAAAAGTTCTTGGTGTAGATGACGAAGTTGAATGCTGAGGATCTAACACTTCACTAGCATGCCTTTAAAAGAAGAAAATGATGCACACATTTTAAAAAAAAACAAACAATTAAAATGTAATTGCTTAATTTGCAATAATGCAAATGCAATATTAATTAATATGTGAATTGAGCAGGTTCTGTGCAAATATTAAACATTTTTAAAATTGATTACTTTGTTCAAAAGACACAATTTTAACTGTATAATAGTTCAAGTTTTGCTCAGAAATTTGAATATTTACATTGACATTTTACTTAATATATTTCCATATACATTAATACTAACTAATGTATATCAATAACAATGGAGATAAATATTCAAATTTAATATAACTTACTCTTGCACAGCTTTGAACATATCAGCTACGATATCTCGTTTCTTAGGTGGGCCAAGTATTTGTTGTCCTGAATTTCTAGAACCACCGGCATAAAATGCTTGACCTTCCTCTTCATCAGAAGAAACTTGAGATTGTTGTAGTGACTGCACAGTTGCAAATCTATAAAACATAAACAATATAACTGAGAACTTTGATGTTTAAAATTTATAATAACATATATTTCTGCTTGTATGATTAACACTTCAATCAATTTTTATAACGCCAATGAAATATTATATATCACAACCATAAAAATATCTAAGAGAAATAATTTGACTCTTAGCCTAAATTCAAACTATTTTCAAAATATATATTGCTATTGCAGTACCTGGAATTGTTTCTAGAATTAGGCTTGGACGTCTGCCTTGATTGTGGAGGTTGTGTCACCTCAGCAGATTCACTTTGTGGAGGAGAGTTAGTATCATCTTCAACGTTGCCGTCTTCATCATCTCCTCCATGTTCATAAAAACTAGCTAGGGCAACCTACAACAATAGAACTCCTTAGTAACTAAACATACATAACCAGCAAAAATTTACTCTCGAACCTCAAGTTGCCAGGCTGCTGACTCTAGATGAAATTTTGCACGTTCTTTAGAAACTCCAGTTATCGCTTCAAATTGATTGATTTTCTCTTCATTCTCCATATTACAATTTATATATTAAAAATAAATTAAAAATTTATAACATAAATAATTTTTGGAAATTTAACTGTCAAAAGTCAAAACTGAATCATTGATGTTGCTCAGTCATGAACGTCATTCTACAACTTCAACTTCAATGCATTTACAAAGAAGCCGGTGAAAAGAGGTGACTACAAGAGCGACGCCATAGTATCGACATTTGTGCCATTTTGAGATTGCGAAAAACGCTCGGGAACGGGCAAGCTCTCCTCTAGCGGATTTTAAGTGCAACTTGGAGCCCAACAAATATGGCGGATGACACATTTATGAGTTGAATTTGCTGTCAACTAATATTTGTTTTGATGTTAAACGTGCATTTTTAGGTTAGACGTTTCATATTTCTTACATATTTTCATCATTTATTTTTTATGATTTTACAATAACAGAGGTAAGAATAATGAAATTCAAAATATAAATTTTGTTTGCTACTACCAATATGCATACTATTTACAGTCAGGAAGGATATTCAATCAAAAAAATATGAAGAAAGTTCAAAGTTTGAAGAGGCTTTAGTAAATTAAATCAATATTTGCTTAAATGATCATATTTAAATGCATAAAAGTATTATTAAAAATCTATTTGTGAGTTTGATTCTAAGGAAAACAAATTATAAAAGTTAGAAATTAGTTATATTGCTTTAGGTTTTACTTTTCAGATTCATTCGTTGGTAGTTTCCAGGGTATTTGAAAGTAGGTTCTTATTTATTGCACTCCAGATGGCTTTATTTCATTTGTTAATAATGTGGGCTTAGGCCGAATTACTCCTACCCAAATTAATGTACTCTCGGGCGTAATAAAAAGAAAGTAAAATCTGGAGGTGCTGTATTAACTGACAAAGGTAAATTCATGAGTAAAAAAGACAAAGTTTTTAATTGTACTTCATAGTCAGGATTTTCATCAATATGGACTGAGTTAGACTAATAAATATAGCAGTACGCTATTTGTTTAAAATTAAATTTAAAATGGATTACTTTCACCAGGAGATATTAATTAAACTCACTTTGATCAAAGTTCGAAGCTTCGAAGCTAGTGTGCGTATACATGTAGAATGAGTCATACAGAGAATGAAAATTTTAAAACTTTTATGTAATACACCAAAGGACTATCAATTTTCTGGTGAAAATATTGTTTTTTTATGTCCTATTTTGGTGAACCTTCAAACTTTCATTATTGAATAAGATGGGGATGGTAAATGAAAGAAATGTTTAGTTTATATCAGATTAAATATATATGTATCATGACTGTTGCTTGTATAATAATATTAACTTTACATAAATGTTATATGTAATACATAAATTGAAAGCTTTTCGAAATCAATGATGAATACTTCTTATATGTACCTAAATTAATCTGAAAGAAAAAACATTGAGAGCATATAATTTAAAGTATAAAATTTTAACAGGTATGTAATATTAAATTCACACAAATAATTACCAATCTATGGAGGAGACCCTCTTCTATCAATATTAGCAAATACTGCTCATCGGTATAAAATTTTGGAGAAATTCTTCAACCTTGCATATACTGATACAATAGCTTCCTAAAATTTTTAAAAGTAATATCTTTTTATTCAATAAAACAAAACATACCTGCAGGTAACAAAACAATTAAATCAAATCAAATTGCAGTGTAGAAATCCTGTAAGTCCTGACATCCTATCAAATACGAGATTCATTCTGCAACAAAGTTCTAATAGAAAGATCTAAACTTTGTTCAGCTGATAACACAACATGCATATCATAAAATATCTTATGGCCTTCTCTGAAAATTTCATCATACCATTAAGCAACACATATGTTTGTTTTAATATGGTGGCCAATAGCAAATACATTTTAATTATGAGTACAAACACCTCAATGAATCTATCCAACGAAGCAATTTATTTCTTCTAACGTTAATTATAAAAAAAATTAACCTTCTTATTCATGCGCTTTCTTCACTTAATATACGCACATGATTGGTGACACTGATATGCCGCATTATTATTAGAAATAAATAAAAACTGCGATTATAAGAAGCAATAACCATCTTTAACAAGCACATAAGTTTGAATCAAACCTGTCAAAATACGAAATAAAACCTGTCAAACGCCATCTTGTTTGGGCACCTGGTTTGCACTTTTTCGCCACCAGGAGAAGTCACGGCGTTTTCACTGACATTTTTATGAGCTTGCCCGTCGGGCAAGCTCTCCTCTAGCGGATTTTAAGTGCAACAAATATGGCGATTGACATAGATAAAAGAAGAGTATATGGATAAATAAACATAAAATGATGAAAGTTTCATAATATTCAATGTCAAAACAGGTAAAGCACATTTGTTCGGAGATAACTTCCCATCACTCCCCATGTTCACTGTTCACCATAGTCTTTTTACGCTTTCTGGAATGATTAGGTTGTTCAAACACGGGGTATTCTAATATTGTCTAGGGTTCAATCCCAAAACGTTTAAATCTCTGGCTGCGGTGCTAATGTCATTATGAATGATATGACAGCTTAACTATATATAAGGATTTTTTGTGTTTTTTAGGTTATATTTATTTTAAGCTAGGACGTCAAAAAATATCTTCTCTCTGTTCATTGTGTTATTTAATCTATTCCAGCTATTTTAAAACTATTTTTTTCTTAAAGAACACATTTATGCAATTTATATCTATATCTAGAGGGAATGCACCAATCGTAAAAGAGAACAAATGTTTTGCTATTTTAAAAACATACCGAGATATGTTGTATTGCAAAAAATTTCATACTTAATGAATATTCGTTTCTCTGTTAGTTCTACTACTCTTACACCGTTAGACGATTTTACATCGCATTTAGTAAGGGAGAAGAGTGAAAAATGGGGCCGTACAACAAGACAAAATAATGTAATTCACGAGAAAGAACTGTTGGACTTACCTGGAGTTTCTAATTCTGAGTTGAACATTAGAGATTTAACAACGGTTGAAATCGATAATATATTACTAAATACGTTATACTTGAAAAAATATCCTGACTTCAATTATATATTAGATCAATGCCGCAAGCTTAGTAGGTTGCCTACAACGGAAAAGTTTTTAGAAGCAATTTCGCACTGTAGTCGCATGGGTTTAAAACAAGAAGTGACAAAATTAGATAAACTTTTACTTGATTATAATCCACAGGAATATGAGAATAATGCTCAATTACAGCACTATCATATAGAATTGTTGTGGAAGCGAGGAAATATTGAAAATGCAACACATTCGTTTCTTGACATGTATCAGAAATTTGTACAGTTACGGCCAAAGGTATATGCAATGAATAAACTTTTGTCAAATTTGAGTTTTTGATATGAAAGCTAAAATGTTATTTCATATAAATTAGATGTTAGAATGTGTCACAATAGTTTTTCTTATAAACTGTCTTTGTCACTAAAATTATTCGTCGGAAAAAAAAATTATTGATAACATGTATAAAAGTAGTGAAATTAAAAAAAAAATTACATTTGGGGATAAGACAAAATTGCACACAACATTCACATGCCAAAATTACGTTTACATATATTAATTACTTTTTAATTACATATGAAAAATAAAATATAATTTTTTTATTGAAAGAAAAAGGGAGGCTTTTGAGTTCAGAAAAATATAATCATGTATGTGTATTTATATGTTTTATAGGTACTTGAAATGTCTCTTCATATGATATTTGTTCTTGTACCGAATGGAAGTGATGCCAATTTAGTGATGATGACAAAGTTTGCAACAAATTTTTATAAAAAATTCAATGAACTGCAGCCGTTATGTTTAACATGGGAACTATCATTCCTTAGTGAGTGGTTTTCAGATCAAGTTTGGTCCAAGCAAATTTTGGAACAATGTCCAGAAATACTTGATAAAGTAAAACTCAGGTATATATGTATAATTATAGTCTCAATTTATAACACATCATTATTCAGATATTTTGTACATTATTTAATCTCATTTTAATAAAAATATTAGAGTACTATTATCTCAAAGAAATATTATCATGAGTTTACCTAAAGTGATAATAATTGAATTTTTAAGTGTAATTTGAAGTTTCTTGAAACATAACACAGTAGTTCTGATATTTATTTACATAATATTATTAAATATTAAATATGTATGTAATTATCAAGCAAATGTTTTATGAGTTTTAAAACTTTTTCCAGATTATTGCCTATGGCTAATCACTCACTTCAAAAGCATGATGTTGATACTGTACAAAGGATTTTAGAAATCATGTTAGCATATAATTTAAGGAATTCATATATAATATTACTTCATTTACTATTTGACTACAAATGTAAGTATTCATAGTTTAGTTATTATTCATGATCATGTTCTGCTTTTTTACTTAATCCTGCACTAAATTGAAGCAAGATTACTAGATATGTGGTTACTGCTCCTAATATCTGAAAAAAAATTAAATATATATTTTTAATACTAATCTCAATATTCAGATAATTTTAACAATTTATGTCAACATAAAGCATAAAAAGACTCTTAATTAATTGCATTTCAAAATATACTAACACAAAAATGAAATATGGTATTAAATTATAACATACCGCTTGCAACAATGTAAAATCTATGTTGAAGAAACCACATGCTGTAAAATTTATTTCATGATGTATAAACTGTAATGACAGCAAAGTAGCCTGTAAGATTAAATAATTTCGGTTAGAGGCATTTTAAAGAAAATGTTACAAGTTAATGTATTAGCTAATTACCGTTGTTCGAAAGTTATCATCATAGCTGCCATAGTTCTTAATACTATGTAGAATGTTGCCAGTATCATTGGCCTAAAGATATTATTGAAATTAAATGTAATATTACACATATCAGACTAAGAGCTCGCAAACCATCCGACTAAGAACTTGAGATCCACAAAGTTAGAAATTTTTTAAATGATATTTTATTGTTGGTCCATTAAGAAAGTACCATTCTGGCAGGCATCTACCGGTTGCGTCATCATCCCTTCAATTTTTGAAAATGTCAAAAAAAATGGTTAAAAATTGGTATATCGGATTTTATTCAAAAACACCTTCAAAATGGCGTATAAAATATTTAAATATTAGAGTGGAGCCAGTTCTGTATGGCAATGCGCCCATACCGTTTGTGCGTCGTGACTATTATACTTGACTGGCAGACCCTTGTAACGGTCAGAATGTTCGGGCTGTTCACATATACCTTTTGACCAGTTAAGAGAATACGTTCTCAAAATTTGAGCCATTTGGGAGCTGATCATGAATTTTTTTTTTTTTGACTGTTTCAAAAATCGGAGGGATGATGACGCAACCGCGAGGTTCCTGCCAGAATGGTACTTTCTTAATGGACCGATAATAAAATATCATTTAAAAAATTTCTAGCTTTGTGGGAAACGGGTTAGGAATAGATAGGTTTGCGAGCTCTTCTGCTATATATCACTGGCATAAACATAATATATAATTATGCAAATTTATACAAATTAAAAAAAATAAAAGGTTACAAAAAAATTATTTTTAAGAATAAATATCCATACATACTAAAACCAGGAAAAATACAAAATTAAACTCAATGTTTAAAAAAAACCTTAAAAGTACTAAACTTTGAATGAAATAAAATATAAATAAATAATAAATTATGTAGTTTATCACACAATTAAACGGTTGAAAAAAAATGAAGGGATTATGAGACCTGATCCAAATAATGATATTACAGTAAAAATAGAAAATTAATAGTTTTGTGTGAAAATATTTCGCTTCTTACTGATGTGGTGAAAAGTCTATTGTTTTTTTTTAACTTTCCGTGGGGAAAATCGAAAATGAAAATTGTTGCAAATCTTCACGTTTAAGAGGTTTCTGAACATTTTGGCATACCTCAGAAACATTGGATGTGTGTGGGTGTATCTGTTCACGTTTTCAGAGATGTGCTGATTAGTTTTTGGCAAAGGCAGGTCGAGCCGTTACGGAGATACGGAGCAAAGTGTGCAGAAAATAGAAATCGAGTTTTTGTGAGAACGGATTATCAATTTGATCTAAAAACATTCAATTTGTAATGATTGGGAGAATTGGTGATTAGTTTTTGGGAAAACTGGTTCAGCCATTTTGAAGATACAGAGCTAAATGTTGAAAAATGACAGTTTTTTAAAGAACTAAGCATCTGATTTGAATGATTCAAAAAACTATCTGCTTGTATTGACAAAAAAATTGTTTTTGGGAAAAATAAAATTCAATTCATTTTTTTTTATATATCGAAAATAATAATTAATGAATAATTTGTCATAATCAATGAATTGTGTATGTGATAAGACAATACATATAGCATGTAATGAAATTTACCTCTGATGCACACATATGGCATGTTCCACATAAGACAATCAGGGGTAGAACATACAAAAGCAACCATATAGTGCTGCAAGTAGAAGATAGCGCGCCTTTAGATTCTGTTAGTACAAGAAGATAGAACATTTGACATGTAGTCGTCACGAAAATGAAAGCTATTGTCACTAAGCTCTGTATGCCAAGTGCATGCATTATATTCTTTGATATTTCACATAAATTATGATGTATCTCGCCCATTATTTGTAGAACTGATGAATCTATCATTTGTACATGGTTTTCAATAGCACTCACTTTATTTACTTTCATTCCTTTCAACGGAGTTGCAATTTTCGTTTCAGGCAGGTATACTGTTTTCGTAATCGGTCTTACCTAAAAATATGAATGGAATAAAATTTAATTTAAACTCCTTTGCATGTCGAATGATGTATATAGTACTACTTTAGTATTCGAATAAAACAAACGGTAATTGCTGTTCGGAGTTGGCTACACTACACAAACAAATCATCATATTTTCTAAACTGTTAATTATTTTTCCATCAATGTAAGATTTTGAAATTTAATGATTTCGGAATACACATTTAGAAGACTATGTTAAGATCAAATAGAGTATTATATGAAAAATTGAAAGTATTGACATTTAAATATTATGCACATACAATTATATTACAGAATAATAATAAATAAATGTTGTTTTGAACAATTCGTTGAATTTTATATAAAAACGATATGTTACACATTCTGTTCACAAAATAGAGGTTAAAGTATTTAATTTTTCAATACTTTATTTTTACCTATTATCATATTCACTTTATTAATGTCATAATTGAATTTTATAGAAAATAGTTTTCTCAAAATTTTCCGGAAACGATTGGCCGTACCCGAAAGTTGAATATTGAGTTAATGTTACCAAATAACATTCTCTAAAACGATTTCTCTATACTCTCGTATTTTTAATACAATAGTTGTATTATTTCTTCCATGCCCGTGAGCATTTTTTTCTTTTAAAATACGGCCGATTATGTATTATTATGACATTGCATATTTAAAGGCATGAACTATTAAACTATTTCTTAAGATCTTGAATATCACTTTTCTTCTAGAAGCTTAAAAGCATTTTTTTTGTAATTGATATAATATATATTTTAAGTGCTACAACCTTCTAATATTTATTACTATAATAATTTTGTACTGCTTCTTCCGCCTCTTTTTGAATTCACCAAATTGATAGCCAGTTCAGCATGTTTTATATTTAATGATAGGGGAAGTACGAACAAAATGACATGGTGTTTTATTTTCAGTCAATCTGTTTTACTTATCTTAGAAGATCTTATTAGATTTATTGATGACCAGTAACATTGAAGACCATTCAATGAAGTAGAAACTATAATAACATATTTATTGAGGAAAAATGCAACTAATTGCAAAATCCACTGTCTCAATATAGTACGGCCATATATGGTACGTGATATAAAGGTAAGAAATACAGTTCACAAATAAATCGTTTGGTTTTTTTGGTACATCGAACCATGCCGTAAGAGCCTGAAGGGGAAAAAAATCAATGTTCGCCGGACTCAGAACCGAAAAAGAGTTAAATAAAAGTTTCTTCTTGTTTCCGGTAAATCCTATGTATTATAAAAAATAATCTATAAAGCCATTCCGATTTGTGAGCTTTAAGGGGGTATTCTACTGTAGAGTCATGAATTTCGCCCGGTTTTTGAAGCGCTGTATAAAGGAAACAAATAATATTTTTACTATCGATTTTTTTATCATTTGTTTATTGATATTTTATTATTACATAAAAAAAATATTGTTAAAAAAAAATTAAAATTCACAAAGTTATGAGCAGTCAAAGTGGGAGTTCCCAAAAAAAGAGGGTGTCCTGGCGTACATGATTCCAACCCTCCTGGTGATTTGAAACATAAAAAATAGATGGATTCTTAATTATAATAGATGCCGCTATCGTATGAACCTTGGATAAGTTAAACAAAAAAATTTTGTTTGAATGGCGGCAGTTTGAAAAAAAAATTATTTTTTTTCATGTTTTTTTAACAATTCCGAATTTTTTAAAAATACTAAATGAAAAGTTATAGTTTTGGGCATGGTCCATACGATAAAGCAATGTATAGAGAAGATTCTCTCCAAATTTGAAGTAAATCGGTTTATTAGAACTCGAGATATCCTTACCGCCAGCTCGAAAAAAGTAGTTCCGAGAAAAACGCGTTCAAAGTTTTGAGACAAGTCGGACCCGAACCGAGGCCACGTCACTAAAACGGCTATAACTCAGAAAATAATAGCAATTTTGAAAAATCCTTTTAATGACATATTTTTGAATAACTAAACTTTGAAAATATGAAAAAAAAAATTTTTCGATTTTTTCAAAATTCTACAGTAGAATACCCCCTTAAATTTTCTTTTTTCTTGGTCTCGAATGAACTAACTGCCTGGTAGCGCTTGCGAAATTGTACTATGCCATTTCGTCATTTTATAAGTATGTCATTTAGTCCGAAGGTGAACAAAAATGAAATATTATTTATAATTTCATCAAACACAAAGATTATTGCATTAATATTATTTCATTAATAAAATTGACTAAGCGCATCGATTTTAATAGAAATAATAACAATTGCCAAAAAATATGGGAAGACCAACAAATTAGTTTTAAAGGTGCGATACACGTTGGAACTGATTAATGCGACAAGATTATGATAATGACTCTAAACATCTGACAGGATCGTGATTAAGGCTTTCTTAATGTAATAGAGACTAAATTTCTAAATAAAACCTAGCCAACTTTTAAATAAAAAACAATGTGTCATTATGTCCATATATTCCATGTTGTCAGATTTCCCCTTTTTATTTTTTTAAAATAGTTTTTATGTTAAAGTGTATTGAATTGCAAATATTCCGATGTTTTTAAATAGAAACATTTTTTTATGCATTTTTATAGTTAGATATTAAATTATACTTTAATAATTGAAGA